CCTCGCGTAGACCGCATGTCTTGATTGCGTAGACCGCATGTTTAAATTTCATTACTTGCGAGCCAAGAATGCAAAGCTACAGGTCCATACTGGACGCCACCTCTCGCTCGAGCGAACAACTCCTCGCTCGAGCGAAGAACCAAAAACCTGGACAGCAACACTTGGTTTCTAAACCCAACCAACCTGAAACAAACCTGTCCAACACATCCTTTAATTCCAAAAGAAAAAATAAGGGACAACAACAACAAGTATACAATGACAGAATCTACGGAACCTAAGTCCGGATACAATAATCAAATGGGAAAAGACCGGGGTCGCTATATTTTGCCTATCTTTTATGCAAATGGAAAGGGAGCATTGTTTAAAACATAACCAAAAAAGTAACAAACCAAACAATTTAACTTTTATCAAAATTATATAAGTAATGAAACAGATGTAATAAAGAAAAATTGTGTGAGAGAGTTATACTTTTGATTATATTGAGAACCTAGAAATTGATGACCACCAGCAAAAAAACACAACACAATATGAAAATAGCAGAAAATAACAAACTAAAATTTGGGAGAAAACTAATGATTAGAGGGAGAAAGGAAATGACATTTATCAAATCTTTAATGAAAAAAAATTGAATACCTTTCAGTATAGAAACTGATGAACTGCGTCAAAAATTCATGAACTGCAGCAAGAGGGAAATCAGATATTAGAAATTGATTTATAGAAATATAGCAATCAAAACAAAAGAAATAAAACAATTAATCAAAGTACCATAATGTTTGTACAGGATCATTTTCTACAGGATCATTTTCAGATAACTTTATTTTTTTAACACAAATAAAATAAATACAGAAGTGAATAGTTGAAAACAAACATTAAGGGTTGAAAGTGAAACCACTTTCTTCTTCACTTATGAGGTACCATTATGCATAATCATCTAATTAAAAGTATAAAGCAGGTTTAAACTCCTTCAAGCATAAAGTAAGTATGGAGTTTTGAGTTATGTGTTTGGTTATGCGTTTACTAAATTAGCTTATCAGAAATGATATTTCATCTTCAAGTAAAATGGAAAAAACTAATCCTTTAATTTACTGGAATAAGTAATTAAATTGGCTTTGACACAAACACATAGCTATCATACTCCTATCCTACATGCATATCAAAAAAATAATAATTCGATAAACTTTGTAATAAACTAATTTGAAAGAATAAAAAATAAATAAATGACCAAAAGAATAAATATTGAATGTAGCCCTCATATGCTCAACTTGCAGAACAGATTGATCGCATCTCTATCATTCAATTTTACTAACATAACAATGATAATCACCAAACAAAGAAAAGAAAATATGGACTCCCTTGAAAGGTAATCACTTCAAATAAACAGAGCAGCAAATCTATTACATTATATTGAACCAATAGCTCACTTTCGACTGACAGGCAATTTTTATGTCAAAGTTTGTTCTGACTACTTTAAGTTGTTGACAGTTGGCAAAAGTATAGAGTTTGATATATAGATAAAACTGTCGAGAGTGGGCAACAGCACCAACCTTATCCTGCAACCACTACATACAGAGAGCACCAAGCTTATCATCAAAAAATCCCACACCCAACTGACTTGCCAATAAAGGTATGTACTCTTTTATTGCAAGTCGAACCCTCCAATGCCTATCCTCAACAAGTTCAACTATAGCCGGCAATAGAGATTGTGACAAAAGATCAATTCCAATAACCTGCAATAACAGCTACTTATCAATATGATTGGAAATAAATATGCATATATTCAGTCTGCAAGTGCATTGTAGAAGAGCATGTAAATATGACAGAAGGCATGAACACCTAAACATTTAAAGGCATACATAAGCATGAGTGAGAGATGCATAGGACAGTATGGACAATCATGAGTAAATTGTAAAGATTTGGCAAAGCATAATTAGGGCCAATCTCTATTGCTATTATTATTTTTAAAAAGGCCAAAATAATATACAAAAGTAAATTATCCTAATGAGGTGAAATCAGCCATGCATGAAATACACAACAAATATGAATAGTGATTCTCTTCATCTTTGTTGCATAACACACAACAACTATGAAGGCCTATTTGGGAACATTATTGTTTGTTGCCCCTATATATCATGTTTGGATTGAAAAGAACTCCAAAATTTTTTGGAGGAATGTATAGGCATGATTGTAACCTATGGGAATTTCTTTTAAGGTTCTGTTTGTCTTTATTGCTTTGATTAGTTGGTTTCTACTCGTGTTCTTGTCTTGATTGCTTTTAAGGTTCTTTGAGACTGTTATTTCTTTCTTTTAAGGTTCTTTCTTTTAAGGTTCTTTGAGACTGTTGTTTCTTTCTTTTAAGGTTCTATTTGTCTTTATTGCTTTGATTAGTCCCCATTATATAGATAAACATTATTGAATCAAAGCCTAGGTTCCGTTTGAAAAATCAGTCCCGATTGCTCACCTGAAAAATCAAAGGCCAGATATCAGTCTCATCCCCAATTGAAAAACACCCTTGCACAGTGGCTCCATTCGTCAATATTGAAGCGGGTTTGGGGCTGCCACTGTTGATAACGATTAGGATGGCGGAGGGAGGAAAGAAGAGAGGAGATGAAGAGAGTAATAGGGGGTTTGGGGTTCGGTCGCCGACAAGGGTTGGGCTCCAACAGGGAAGCACCGGACAGACACTTAGTCTAATTTCAAAACAAAATACAGGTTAGTTAATTCCAAGTAAACTAAAACTATAAGTTTGATTGCATAGAAACCTGAAAGACACTTAGTCTCAACAGAATCTTTGAGAAAGAGAGGTCCGTTTTTACAAATCTTAAACATTGAGATCCAAGAGTCATCTCAAGATTTCCTAGCAAACAAACCAAAACACAAAATAAAATCAAGTTATAAATTATCGATTAAAATAAAAATAAATATCAAAAAAAAATTAACAAAATAAGTGAAACTTAATTCTAAACTAAAACTATAAGTTTGATTACAAAGAAATATGATAGAGAAACTCAGTCTCAGTGGCGACTTCGAGAAAGAGAGGTCCGTTTTTATTAATCTCAAGCATTAAGATCCAAAAATCATCTCAAGATTTCCTAGCAAGCAAACAAATCAAAAGATAAAGTAAAATCAAGCAATCAAGCAATAAATAATATATTTACCAAAAGAAAACCAATCCATTTAAAAAAAAACAAAATCGAATGCTGTGAGATATTCCAACTCTGCAATAAATAATTAGAGAGAGAAAGAATTAATTATTTGAAGTCAGATTGTTAACAAATCTAGTATTATAACCATGAATTATTTTCCATTACCATATAAATGTTAATCACCTTCTGTTATTTTACTATTCCATGATTCAATCCCAAGTCATGTGTAGCCTCCAACAACCATTTATCCCCCCAAATAGAATGCTTATAATTATTTACAGTGTACAATTAAAATATGGTAAACTCGATAGCATTTTTGACAATTTTACCATTTAGCTTATATTATAACCATGTTCGTTATCAGCTGTAACCTGACAAAATGCAACATGATGTCTTTTTCTACACACACAAAAATATAGAGAGAGAATGTATTGATATGGTTGTTATCCCAAGTTCTATATATTCTACTCAGATTATGATGGTTGCTCATTTTATTAGGCAATGGCAATGCCAAATGAGAGAAAAACAACAAACAAAATACTTCTAGTTTTATTTAACTGAGAGTCAATTGACATATTAGCTTATGGACTTCACAGTTCATCATTAGCTAGTTGGTGAGGGTGACTTATCTCAGAAACGAAAGTCTAGGCAACAACGCATTGTCCAACTTATCTATTTAACCGTTGGATCTAAAGTTTGGAATGATCTTAGCCAAACTAACAAAATGTAAGAGATATGGTATGCATATTGCAAAGCATCCAATAGATGAGAAGTGTCTGTTGAATATCATACCACAATAAAAATCAATGGTGATGATTCACCTTGGCACACAGTTCCAGAGGCTTGCAGTTGAAAAATAGCAAGGAAGTGTCTGTTGGAAGAGAATAGGGTTCAGTTTCGTGTCAGTAACAAATAAAAGATTGGATAAATAAATAATTTCTATTTTAGAATTTAAATAAAGCTTCATTTTTTTTATTTTAAAAAAAAAAGGTCAAAATTAAAGGTACCTTGAACATTACATTGTCAACAGTTAAAAAGTACTTAGATGAAACCAATTCAAAACTCTAACTTCAAATGAAACTTTTCCCAAACCAATTCCATCAAGACCTTCTTAAGCTGAGGACAAATTTCACCAACTAAAACCAAAACAGAGCAAACAATACACACTAAAACAAAGTTAAATTACATTTTTCAGATTATTACAAATAAAAAGAATGAAAAGGACAACTTAAAAAACTTTAAAAGGGCCAAATTTATTCAATACCACAATATATTCACATCACACCTTGAAAACAACTAAAATAACCCTGAAATTTTCATGTTTCTTTGATTGAATAGAAATTAATTTTTGATTTAATAGAGGGGGATAGAATCACCAGAAAACAACTGAGGTTCTACTGGATTTCAAAAATTCAAAACAGTAGAAGGAGCACCTGAGGGGGGGGAGGGGGGGAACACAACAGAATGGTGTGCATGTGCTGTGAGCTGGAGAAAAACAGATATTGTAATTCTCTTGCAGAAACATTGTCTCCAAAATTATTTAGGAAAACATTTGCTCCCATGGAGAGAGAGAGAGAGAGAGAGAGACTTACCTTTGAGAAGAGTGGGTTCTTTAGGAAGAAAAGCGTCAAGATCAGGCTTAAAATGGGGTACTTGTTGGTGCAATGCAAACTGAAACTGATGGAAATCAAAGAGTTGAAAAATAGCACTGATGCACCTAGACCCAGACACTATGTCTCTCTCTCCTCCTCCTAATCACACCAATCAAACCCAAATCACACCGATTTGACAATTCACATGCGGTAGATCCATCAATTTGGGCACAGGAGGGGGTCGGTGCAATGAAGAATGACGAAGGCGGAGGAGGAGCAAGAAAGGAGGCAGCGATCTTCTTTGAGGATGAAGCGGTCGTGACAAACACGGGTGATGAAATATTGGACGAAACCAATGCCGAAAAAACCGAGGAGGTAGATGAAGGAAACAATGAGGGAGGCGATGGCAGCGAGTTCGGAGAGAGTGACGACGTAGAGAGGGGTGGAGGATCGGATCTGATCGCGCTAACGATGGAGGAGGTAGTAAGCCATAGAGAAGAAAAGTGTGAAGAAAATGCCGTTGGGAGGAGGAGGAGGATGAGAGAGAATGTGTAGAGCAGATGTGTTTAGCTTAGACGTAGGAGAGAGAGCAAAGAGTTGTTTGGGCGGGAGATCCATTGATCTGAACCATTGATATAAACTTGGATTAATCTCAGCCATTGGATCAAAATGTATCTCACATACATTTTATACATTTTCAAAAACCTTCCCCCCTTATTATGTAGATATATATTTTTTAATTTTTAGTGAAATTTGTTTTTTATAAATTCAAAAACAATTCAGACTTTTGGTTTTATTCAACTAGACAAATAAAAAAGGTAAAAATTAAAAATTAAAAAAACTCCAAAAAAGATATAAAAAATAAAAATAAAAATAAAAAGTTAAAAAGAGTCTTTTTTTGGCTTTTTATATTTTTTTAATTTTTAATTTTTAATTTTTTAAATTTGTTTATCAAGATATATTTTTTTAAATTTTTAATTTTTTAAATTTGTTTATCAAGACCAGCTAAATAATCAAAATTTTGTTAGGACATTTACACGCAAGTTTTATTTTATGAAATTATAATTCATTAAATCTAAATTAAGATTTTTTTTAAACTTTCAAGTCTTATTAAATTTTTAATAATTAGAATTGCTCATCAAATAATGATTGTATATCCTTTATGATTGTTTATAAAAAGACCAAGATGATTTGATATTTATTTTTATTTTTAAAAATTTAAAACATGAACTTTAAAACTGAAAAAACGTAAAAAAAATTATGTGCAAATTTTTTTATTTTTTTTTGAAAAGTTTGAAAAAATTGAAATTTTGTTTTGTGTAAAACTGAAAATGTCTATAAAAGAGCATACTGATGGAAAATTGATGTACAAAATTTTTATTAAAAAAAAGGCTTTAAAATTGAAAAAAAATTGATAATACTATTTTAAAACTAAAAAAAACTGATAACGCTTTTTATTTTATTGAATAATTAAATTAAACCAAAGAATAAAAAGATAAAAAAATTTAATCTCGTATTTTTTTCCTCTCTCAGTTAGTGAAACAATATCTGGAATATTATTATATAAAATTGATAATCTTCTTAATTTTCCAATTTTTTTGGTTCAAAAAAATTTATTGGTTCAAAAAAATTTATACAAGACGTGAGCCATACCACAATATTTGTAAATAAGATTTTTAAATAGTTAATCCAATTTTTTTTATTATATAATTTTATAAAAAATCACTAAAGATTAAAAAAGAAATTAAAAAACAAAAAGTGATTTTTTTTTAGGTGTATGCCAAACAGTAGTGGTGCTCGGCCTTACACAGGTAAAAAAATTTAATCTCATATTTTTTTTCCGTCTCAGTTAGTGAAACAATATCTGAAATATTATTGTATAAAATTGATAATCTTCTTAATTTTACTAAATAATAATTATTGGTTCAAAAAAATTTATACAAGACGTGAGCCATACCACAATATTTGTAAATAAGATTTTTAAATAGTTAATCCAATTTTTTTTATTACATAATTTTATAAAAAATCACTAAAGATAAAAAAAGAAATTAAAAAACAAAAAGTGATTTTTTTTTTAGGTGTATGCCAAACAGTAGTGGTGCTCGGCCTTACACAATTATTTTGCTCTCTCTCTCTCTCTCTGTCATACACCTCGAGATAGCAGAGATGGCGGCCTGTGCATCTTCGTCACAATGTCCTTTTCTTCTATCCCATGACTTCTTTCGAACTAGCAGAGAAAAACCCACTTCGCTTTCATGGTCTTCTTCATTTCCTAATGTCAACTTGTCCATCAATTCCATTTCCAGCCCTTCAAACCCCACAGTCAGCAAGGTATGTAAACTCTCATTTTTCTTATTTCCATCTTTCTTATACTATGTTTGGTAAACCAGTGTTTCTGTGGCTCACCCATTTCTCTGATTTTGCTATGTTATTATATACACATATGTATGCATCTATTCCTGAAGTTGAAATTGAACTTATAAATTTAGTTTGTGATGTTGGGATAATATGTATATGGACCAAATCAGAATGGGACACAAATCCCAATACTTCAATAATATGTATTGGTTTAGTTGGGGCATTGCCTCGGACATCTGATTATCAAAAAAAAAAAATTGAAAAAGAAGAACCTAAATTACCATCACAACCAATTTGGGAATTTGGATTTTTAGAGTCTTATGTTTGTAACTATCTATATGTTATTCATCTGACTGTTATCTGATTGTTAATACTTAGGGGTGGTTTGGGATGATCTAAATAAGTGTATTTTTTTGACTTTTTATAAAATATGGGTTGGATATGGGTTGGGTTTGAAGTGATGTGTTAGAGAGATGATGTGACTTAAATAAGATAACGTGACTTAAATAGGATAGTGACTTTTTGACTTTTTAATTTTTTTAGATCATGCCAAACAAGGCCTTAATTAATAATATATATTCCATTGCAAGCTTTATATTCAGCAGGGAGACTTGGCTAGGGCACCCTAATTACAAATACTAGTTTAAGTACTAAATATATATATATATACATATATACTTGGTGGTAGTTTTAATCCTCAATTGTTTTAAAGCCTCATTTTAGACAAAAATATGCTTATGGATTTTTAGGTAATGTTTGATTCACAAAACTAATAGTGAAGTATTAATAATCCTATTAAATTAGTGTGTATTCACTATCCAATTGGATTAATATCCATTGGATTAATAATCCCACCTCTACCCCATGACTAATAATCCTACAAATTTGTTGGATTAATAATCCTAAACCAAAATGTTAAAACAAACATAGGATAATTGGACCCACGGATTAATAATCTCAATCCCATGCTCTAATCCACCCAATCAAACATGCCCTTAGAGTCGTATGTTTGTAACTATCTATATGTTAATCACCTGACTGTTATTTGATTGTTAATACTTAGGGTGGTTTGGAATGATCTAAATAAGTGCATTTTTTTGACTTTTTATGAAATATGGGTTGGATATGGATTGGGTTTGAAATTATGTGTTAGAGTTGTGATGTGACTTAAATAAGATAATGTGACTTAAATAGGATAGTAATTTTTTGACTTTTTAGTTTTTTTAGATCATGCCAAACAAGGCCTTAATTAATAATATATATTCCATTGCAAGCTTTATATTCAGCAGGGAGACTTGGCTAGGGCACCCTAATTACAAATACTAGTTTAAGTACTAAATATATATATACATATATACTTGGTGGTAGTTTTAATCCTCAATTGTTTTAAAGCCTCATTTTAGACAAAAATATGCTTATTGACTGATAGCATTGGGATCATGCAACGCACGCAGAATGCACACTGTTTTCATATTTGGATTGGTTTCAAGACTTTATAATTCAATAACTTTTTATCTTGATCTCTCTTTAAGTTGACAGTTGTCGAACACAGATAGAAAAATAGGGAGATGATCATCAGAGCATGTTCGTGGATACCAAACGTAATCTGGTGGATTTTTTACTATTTGATTTTTCCTCTATTAGACTCACTCACACTACTGATTTTTTGATCTAGCACTTTCTTATTTTTCTAATGCTTTGTAACTAGCTGATGAAATACCCACAGTTTTTAATTAAAAAAAAAGAAGAAGAAGAAGAAGGTCGGCAGTATTTTTGTGAAGAGAATGAACTAATTAAGTTTGGTCTGCATAATGGAAGAGCTATCACCTGATTAATATGCATGCCATGACCACAATAAAAAGCTATCACCACTCTTGCTGTGGGGATGTCATCTTCTTCCTTCCCAATTTAACATCATCTTTGTACCAAGTGAGTTTGTGTCTTTACGGGAAAATAATATTCAGGGATAAACCAATCACGAAAAAATAATAAGTGGACCTTACATCCCAAATTTTAGAAAGTGAGGGAACTCAGCTTTGAAACATCTTTTATTAGGACCCCATCTACTACATGGACTTGTACCAAAGTACTTATTGCTAATTTCCCCTTTCCATTAATGGTTGCAAATAAAAAGTCATGTTGTTGTATAGTTGTTTGACACTGGTTTGTTTAACATTACTTACAACTATATTTGGACTACAGGAATCAAAGAGAATAAATGAGAATCCTTTTACAAGGAATCCCATTACTAGTAATTTTATTCCCGTGTCAATGCAATTTAAGCGTTTGGTTTGGCTAGAAATCTTATATAGCAATCTGATATAATTTTAAATATTGTGAGCTCATCTACTTACTTTATTTCTTGAATAAGTTCCATGGGATGTAGGGCTAGGATTCTTATTTAGTGAAGTAATCTAATTGTGTCTTGGGGACTGAATTAGGAATCACATTCCACTTCCATTCTTGAACGCACCCAAGCAACAGAATAAGAGACATGGAAGGGGAATCCCATTCCGCCTCTCCATTTTTGCCATCCAAAACTTGCCCCCCCTAATGTTGTAATATTGATGTTATAAGTTTGGCCCTATGCTCACCGAAAAGAAGAAGAAAAAAAATGGCAACAATATCTCAGTAATGTTTATTTCTTTAGGTAGCTCACTGAGTGCAAAATGGGGAGCTGATCAGAGCTTTTTGGTTTAGGAAATTATAGATATATGATGAATCTAATGTTTATCGATCTTAGTTGAATTTGAAATTGTGCATGTTGAGCTTATCAGAAACCAGAATGAGTTTGGCATTTTGAGTTCATGCAATGTAACTATCCAATCCGTGACTTAAACATTAACTCGTTGCTTCAAAGCGAAGATGAATTTGGCTTTATTATGAATAAAACTTCTGTCTATTTTGATTAAAGTACACCAAGATAAATTATGAATATTATATATATATATATATGAAACTTGCTTTATGGAGGAAAAGATAAAGCTGAATGATGCATTTTTGTTAACATTTCTTAGACCAAGCATTGTTTTGATACAGCATGCATTAGTGCAAAACCTGGAATTGTTGTGAATTTCTCTTTTGTGCTTGGAACTATGTTACACGGACGCGGGTATGGGTATCGGGTGCGGGTGCGGGTGCGGGTGTGTATCTAAGGGTCGGATACTTCAAAATTAAAAATTAAGGATACGTGGATATGCATCCAAATTTGGATACGAGTACAGGGATACGTTAAATATATATATATATTTTTTAAATATAGTTATTAAGATGAGTTATATTATATAAATAATAAATAATTATTTTACATATATGTGTTTATTTATTTTTATTAATATATATAAGTATATATTATCTTATAAATATATTATATGTTATACAATAATTATTATATAATATATAATAATAATTGTTATTATTATAGTTATTATAATAATAGTTATTAACTATTATTATTTTATATAGATATATACGAATAGATATAGATGTGAATCAAGAGATGTCAATCAGTAAAGTCAAGAATAAAACAAGAGAGAGAGAGGGAGAGAAGTGAAGCGAAGCGAAGCGATCGCGAGGGAGAGAGAGAAAGCGAGAGAAAGAGAGAGTCGTCTGGGGTGTTCGACTGTTCAATCGACTGATGGAGCTTCGATCTTCGACTGGATCGACCGGATGGAGCTCCGACTGGAGGTCGTCGATCTTCGACTTCCATTGGATCGATTTCAATCAGGTTCTCTCTTGCTCTCTCCTCTTTCATTTCTTTTGCTGTCTGTAAAGAGCCGTGTCCGAGAGAGAACAGCCGAATCCGACACAGATCCCACACCCGTACCCGTGCCGTGTCGTGTCGTGTCGACACGGATACTTCGCCCCAAAGTGCCGAGTCCATGTAACACAGGTTTGGAATGAGAGTGAGACACACCTCAATTGCATGCTTATGAATGTTTAACCACCAGCATGCTATTGTGTTATATTTTCATAAATGGAAAGATAGAATTCGAAGAATTATCTGTTTTATGACCTCTGCCTTAATTCTTCAGGAGGGGACCACAAACATTTCTTTTGCTTGTATATGTGTTTTTTATTTTATTTTTTTCCCTCCAATATCTGATGGAGGAAGATGAAGTTGAGTGTTCAGACCTGGATATGTGAATTCAAAACAGAGCCTCTTGATGTATAACTAGTTCTACCCCAGAAAGCATTTAGGTTTAATCTATCATGTTTTTGGGTGAGCTCATAAAAATTTTCCTTGTATTCTTTAATCATGATTTCATTTATATAGCTTTTATTTTACATGTTACCTTATGAAAAACTTCATCCAACTTTCATCTGGACCTAATCCATAATAGGAATTTGTGTTCTTCATTGGAAAAACTTTATTAAAAAAATAAAGATAAAATTTGTTGATTTGAATGTGCCAGATTGTTTTATGACCATTTTCTGAAATAATTGGACCTCCAGTTATAAGCAGATCACTTGTGGTGTCAGCATGGTGAAGCAAGATTCTTTTTATTCATGAATGGTTTATCAGTTGTGTCTCCTTCAATCCACATGGTTCCCCATAAAATCGTGTGAGAGATAACATATTGTTGCAGGAATTTATTGTTCAAGCTGCCTGGACAAGGAGGTCACGAGGTGAAGCTGCAAAAAAACCGAACAGAAAATCATGGGGACAAAGGACAGATATGTATATGCGACCATTTCTACTAAACATTTTCTTTTCAAAGCGATACGTTCATGCAAAAGTGATGCATCGTGGAACCAGCAAAGTGATATCGGTGGCCACCACAAATGCCAAGGATCTCAGGAACACATTGCCATCGCTCACTGATGACAATGCCTGCAGAGTAATAGGGAAGTTGATTGCTGAGCAATCAAAGGAAGCTGATGTATTTGCAATGGCTTATGAGCCCCAGAAGAATGAGCGGATTGAAGGGAAGCTTGGTATTGTTATTGATACCATTAAGGAGAATGGTATCATATTTGTTTAACATTTTTACCATTGTTTTTGTTCTTTCACTTCAAATTGCTGCATATTTTTCTCGGGAAAGTATTAGCTCTTTATTAATCTCGCCGAAGTATTGTAAAATCAAGGGAAAAAGAGAGAAACCACCTGGGGGTGGTAGCTTGTTGGTTGGGGGCTTACTCATGTGGGTTGGTGACTAGGAGGAAATGGATTCAAGTATTTGAGGGGCAAGACAAATGCCTTTTAATCTTAGGCTACCAACTCCTTGTCACTCTGCCTTCAATAAGACTATGGTCAAATTTGGCTCAAGCATGTTTTGAGGTTGCTCTCCACGTTGCTTGGCCCATCTAGGCTTCTCTGGTCCGATTCCCTAGTGTTTGCAAGGTGCTTCTATGGTCAGGCCAAAAAAAAATTTTGAAAAAATTGTTACATGGATTCAAGTATTAGCTTTTTGTTAGAAGCTGGTCATGGTAGTGCCTTTTTCTATTTTCTTTTTGGGTTTATGCCTTGTAGGCTTGTGGCTGTAAAAGGTTGTGAAATGGGGTATTATACACTGTAAAAGTACTTGAAAAACTTTTGACATTATAATATTGTTGTGTTTGTCCATGAGTTTCTGGTTGGGAATCATACTTTTGGTTTGAAGTGAATTTCTAAAGATGCAGCTACTTGTAACATATTACAGATGTGATGGAGATTGAATGTGTATTGTGAGGTAGGTTCCATGTCTGGAATGGATTTGGTCCACATATATATTAATTTTTCTAGGTAACTTTTTGGATAAAATTTCTAGATTTATAATATATTTCTACTATAATTGTCGAATCGAGATTCAAATCGTGAATCAAAATGATCTCATATCGAAACGCGAATTGAATAAATTCGTGAATTATAAAATAAAAAAAAAGGATAAATTACATTTATCTCTCCTGAGGTTTTTGACAAATATAGGGATCTCTTTTGTGGTTTGAATAATTACAGTAACCTCTCTTGCTTTACCTGACAATATCAAAATTTTCCCTTTCTGTCAAATTGTTTCAAACGATATTACTTTTTTTTATAGTAAATCACCTTATTGCCTTTCCTTTTAAAATATTAAAAAATGTTTTTGGATTAGAGAACAGGTTTGGAAGAAATAAATAGTGTTTAGAACAGTATTTTTGGATTTATTTTTTTAAAATATTAAAAAATATTTTTAAAAAATTTATTATTTTTATTTTAAATATATAATTTTTTAAAAATATTTTAATTTATTTTGTAAATATTTTAATTTTTTTTAATTTTAATATTTTAAACTCAAAATACAACTTCACACTCAAATCGTAACCAAACACATAACTCAAAACTCAATTCAAAAATTATTTTCAAACCTCATAACCAAACACATAACTCGAAACTCCATACTATTTTCAAAACTCTACACTCAAATCATAATCAAACACATAAAATAAAACTCAATTAATAAATTATTTTTAAAATTCATAACCGAACACATAACTCGAAATTGCATACTACTTTCACAACTCTACACTCAAATTGTATAAATATAAGGGCATAAGTGTCCAAGAAAATTGTGTAAATCAAGAAAAATGACTTTATGGAATAAAATTATACATACATGGGACTAAATGGGTTAAAAAATTCCTTCATGGACTTCTTGGGTTAAAACACTTCTAAATGGGATTTATCAATAAAAATTCCTTGAAAATATTTTAATTTTTTTAATTTTAGTATTTTAAACTCAAAATACAACTCCACACTCAAATCGTAACCAAACACATAACTCAAAATTTAATTTAAAAATTATTTTCAAAACTCATAACCAAACATACAATTCAAAACTCAAACCCAAACTCTTTTCAAAATTTTATTTTTTAAAAAAATTCAAAAAAATATTTTTTATTTTGTTTTTTAAAATTATTTTTACAATCATGATTTCAGTGTGAAATCATACTTTGAGTTATGAGTTTTGAGTTGAATTTTGAAAAAAGAAATTTTATTTGGTTATGACTTTTAAAAAGAGTTTTTGGTTGTATTTTGAGTTTTGAATTGTATTTTGAAATTTTTGAATTTATTTTTTAAAATATTTAAAGGATTTCTTAATTTTATTTTTTTAGGATAAATATTTTATATTTTAAATATTTATTATTTATTTAATTTAATGTTCATTATATTTCATAAATTTGTGTGCTATTTTTTATTTTAAATATTTTATTTTATTTTATAAATGAATTTTTAAATATTAATTTTTTTTTATTACATGTTTGGTTACAATTTGAGTGTGGAGTTTTGAAAGTAGTATGGAGTTTTGAATTGTGTATTTAGTTACGAATGTTGAAAATAGTTTTTAAATTGAGTTTTGAATTATGTGTCTGGTTACGATTTCAATATGGAGTTGTGTTTTGAGTTTAAAATATTAAAATTAAAAAAAATAAAATATTTACAAAATAAAATAAAATATTTAAATAAAAATTATATATTTAAAATAAAAAAAATAATTTTTTTAAACATTTTTTAATATTTAAAAAAAAAATAAATCCAAAAATATTGTTCCAAACACTGTTTGTTTTTTCCAAACCTGTCCTCCAATCCAAAAGCATTTTTTAATATTTTAAAGGAAGGGCAATAAGGTAATTTACTATAGAAAAAGTAACACCGTTTGGAATAATTTGACAGAAGGGGAGAATCTTGACATTGTCAAGTAAAACAAGGGAGGTTACTGTAATTATTCAAATCACATGGGAGGTCCCTACATTTGTCAGAAACCTCAGGGGAGATAAATGTAATTTACCCTTTTTTAAATTACATAGAAAAATATATCTACACACTTAGATGTTAAATATACCTTATGAATATGAACTATTTAGACTTAAATCAATGAAAATACTATTTTGAGTGATGATCACGTAGTTTAATAAGTAAAAAAGTTAGCAACAGTTCCTATGTAAGATCACCATCTTAGTTTTTTTACTTTTTTAAATATTTCTTACTGTAGGGATATATTTTCTGAGTCCCAACACGTGGCCAAGGTGACGTCAACGTGTCAGCCGAGGTGCCACATGTCCAGGTTATGACGCCGAGGTTATCTCGGTTAGGTTGAGGTTATCTCCGAAGATATCGGAATCCGAGATAAGCGGATAAGGCACAAGAGTCCTAGAATGAGGAAGGACTTTAGCATGGATAAGGATAACACTCTTAGGGAGTTTATCTTTATCTCTTGGAGAGTCCAGGATGAACACTGAGCAGAAATCCAGTGAAGCTAGGCTTCTATGAGGACTAGGATTGAGTTAACTATAAAAAAAGGCACCCTTGATGGGTCTAAGATACGCAATTTATATTCTGAACAGTGAGTTTTGCACTATCGATTATCTTTGAGAGATATACTGACTTGATCGTCGGAGTGCCCCCGGGTGGACGAACCACCGCCAGAATCTTCTCTTTCTGTTACAGGTCAACCAGGTGTCATCTATTCTGCGAGTGCTCTCCAGCTGAATACTAAGTTTGGCAGTGTGGTTGGAAATTCACTCACACAATTTGGCGCTGTCTGTGGGAAAGAAAAGAGAATAGATGGCCAGTGACGGATAGAAGGATAAGGTTGGAGACGAAATCCCTGCTGAGAGTGGTAAACACATTGACCCAAACGTGGAGGAAGATGGTCACAATGAGGAGACTCAGAACCAGAATCACGGTAAGAAAGACATCGGCCAGGATGGCGACGTGCCAAAAAAGCCAGATCGAAGCGGGTACTACAACGAGAACGACCTCCAGGTATGGAAGGATAGATGCCTGCGGAGAGACGAAGAGGTGAAAGAGATGGCAAACAAATTGGTAGACTTGCAATCGGTCGTCAATCTTATGATGCAAAATAACGTCATGCAGCCACCGTTCTTGCTGCACAACACACCGATTCCAGCGGCCAATGCCCAGAAGCGGGGGGAGAAATCAATCCCAGTAGCCTTCCAGCACACCAGGAGCGGAAAACACTCCCACCGGCCTTCAAGGGAGGTCGAAAGAGGACAGTCGATGAGAGAAGAGTCACGAAGGACACATCGCACCAAGGAGGCAGACCCCTAAGAACATCGGCATGTTCAAAGACAGACACTATGCTTCGACACGTCTAATGGAGAAAGGTCGAAGAGAGCTCACAATGAAGCTAAAAGTAGTGCACCAAAAAGATCAAAGTCAGGAGATAGCCGAGCACCTAGGCGGAGCAAAGAAGACTTAAGAGATTACCTCAAGAGGAAACAACAAAATGCCGATACCGAGGTAACTTCTCCTGATAAGCCGAGAACACCATTCTCAGTGGAATTGGACAAATTTGAGGCTCCAAAGAGATTCAGCATGCCGAGGTTCCAAATATACGATGGTAAGTCAGACCCTAACTTCCAGGTTGGATTATACCTGAACTCAATGGCATTGTATAGTGGGAATGAGCCATTGCTCTGCAAAGTGTTCCCCTCATCCTTCGGGGAGATTGCATCAGACTGGTTTCACAAGCTGCTAAAGGGAAGCGTGAAGACTTGGGAAGGCCTGGCCGAGATGTTTGTGGCCAGGTTCGTGACAAACAAGCTACAGCCATTAAGGGTGGACGCATTGATGGCTCTGAGAATCAGTAAGGATGAAGGCCTTAGGGCCTACGCAAAAAAGGTACTATGAGGTGTTCAACCGAATACCCGAGTGCAATCAATAGGTGGCGGCCGTATCTTTCAAGAACGGCCTAAAAGACGAGTGTCCACTACGAAAGTCTTTGGCAAAGACATTGCCAAAAAGCATGGAAGAGCCCATGGCCAGAATTGAGAAGTATGCCAGAGCTGAGGAAGGCACCTTAGGAGCTAAGGAGATGAAGCAAGAGAAGGGTAACGGCTCACCGAAGCGAGGCCAAGGTAACAACGGGTCCAACAAGCAAGAGGTAGGACTGAGGGCTGCACAAGCAGTCACAACTGTGTTCTGGATCCCAATCCACAAAGTCTTGAACAAAATTCGATCTCAGCCCTATTTTAGAGCACCAGCCAAAGTGCCAGGAGAATTTATGGGAAGAAACCTTGGTAAGCACTGTGCTTACCATAACGAAGATAGGCATATAACTCAGGGTTGCAAAGCCCTGAAGGCATACCTAGAAGACCTAGTGAGGCAAGGCCATTTGAGGGACCTTGTAGATGAAGCCAGGACAAGGGAAGAGCAGGCAAGTCTGCCTCAGGCACCAGCAGCTCCGCCTCCCCCAGCACAGTAACCTCAAGCAGGAGGACCTCGGATAATTAATGTAATTCACTCGAAGGTCAACGAAAACGAAATACGGGGGGAGACCCAGAATGTAAAGCACTTGCAGCACGTGTACCAGGTCGGGGAGAAAAGACATCGGGCCGGGGAGTGTCAGGGACCAGTAGTGTCCTTTACTGAAGCCGACCTTGAGATGGTACAGCATCCACATAACGATGCCTTGGTAGTATCCCTCCAAGTTGGGGAGTGCCAAGTGAAACACATCCTGATTGACCAAAGTAGCTCTTGTGACATCATGTATGTCAGGTGTTACAAGGAGCTAGGCCTTCACCTAGACGACATGGAGCAATCCAATGGCCCAATGGTCGGCTTCAATGGAACGCCGACGTGGCCACTGGGCGAACTTGGAGGTGCAGGATGGCACCAGGAAGATACGGACAGAATTCACCGTAATCAACACACTCTCCCCATATAATGCAATCTTGGGAAGGCCATGGCTGCACGCCATGAGGTCTGTTCCCTCAACATTACATCAACTGATGCGGTTCCCAACAGAACATGGGATTGAGGAGGTTAGAGGAGATCAACTGCAGGCAAAGAATTGCTCTATGGCAGCAATGAAATCCACCTGCAGCATACGAGAACCAGAGAAAGCAGAAATCGAAGACGAAGACGTGGAGGTCTTAGAGGATGTCGGCAAGGAGCCAGCCGAGAAGAGTGAAGAAGCACTGAAGAAAATCCTCGTCTAGAAGGGGGATGAAGAACGCTTATTTCTTCTCGGCTCGGGCTTAGCCGAAGAAGAAGAAAAAGAGTTGTAAGCTTTCTTGAGAGCAAATATTGAGGTGTTTGCTTGGACGCCTTACGAGATGCCTGGCATTGACCCGAGGTCACTTGTCATAGACTGAACGTTGATAGGTTGGCCAAACCTGTAATCCAACGAGCAAGAAGACCGACGTTGATGCACGTCGAGGCAGTGGAGGAGGAAGTAGACAGACTTCTGGAGGCCAGGGACATTCGAGAGGTAAACTACCTGAAATGGCTGTCAAACACAGTGGTGGTGAAGAAAAAGAATGATAAATGGAGGGTCTGCGTGGACTTTACCAGCGTAAACAAGGCCTGTCCCAAAGACAGTTTTCCTCTACCCAAGATTGACCAGCTGATGGATGCCACTTCAGGGCATGGAAGAATGAGCTTCCTGGATGCCTACAGGGGGTATCACCAGATAACCATGTACCTCCTAGATGAAGAGAAGACTGCGTTTATCACCCCAAAAGGGATGTATTGCTACAATGTGATGCCTTTTGGGTTGAAAAACGCTGGAGCAACTTACCAAAGATTGGTAACCAAGATGTTCAGACATCTGATCGGCCGAACGGTGGAAGTTTACACTGACGATATGGTCGTGAAGACCAAGGAACTTGAAGGTCATCTGGCCGACCTAAAAACAGTATTTGAAATCCTTAAAACATATCGACTCCGACTCAATGCATCGAAGTGTGCATTTGGAGTTGGATCTGGTAAGTTCTTAGGATACTTGGTGACCAGAAGGGGCATTGAGGGCAGCCCAGATCAGATCAAGGCCATCCTGGAATTGAAGAGCCCGACGTCGGCAAAACAGGTGCAAATGCTGACTGGAAGGGTCGTAGCCCTGAACAGGTTCATAAGCAGAAGCTTAGACAAGTGCAAACCTTTCTTCAACTTAGTAAAGAAAGCCACAGACTTTTTGTGGACCAAAGAATGCGAAGTCGCCCTGGCCAACTTAAAGAAGTATTTGACCACAGCTCCAGTTCTTTCAAATCCAGAACCTGGGGAGGAGCTGTTCCTATACTTGGCAGTTTCAGAACATGCGGTAAGTGCAGTGGTAATCCAGGAAGAAAAAGGGAAACAAAGGGCTGTTTACTATGTAAGCAAAACCCTGGCCGATGCAGAAACCAGGTATTTACCCCTAGAGAAGTTGGCGCTGGCACTAGTAATAGCTTCAAAGAAGCTGAACCATTACTTTCAAGCCCACAAGATTGTGGTATTAACTGAACATTCATTGAAGTCCCTATTGCAGTAGAGAGACCTAACAGGAAGAATAGCCAGATGGGCAGTGGCTTTGGGACGGTATGACTTGGAGCACAAACCCAGAATAATAATCAAAGGCCAAGTTTTGGCCGAGTTCACACCAGAATCCATCGTATATCGGGCTCCGTTGAGCCGAGGTGAACGATGTCCAAGCAAGCAAGGAGAAGCCCAGCCGAATGAAACAAAACAAAGGAAGAATGAAAAACGCAGACCCTACAACATTTACGTCAGCGACTCCTTTCGACTGTTTGTCGATGAGAGCTCAAACTGACAAGGAGCGGGGGTAGGAGTAGTTCTGGTATCTCCAGATGGACAGATATTAGAACAATCCATTCGTTTGAGGTTTAAGGCCTCAAACAATAAAGCAGAGTATGAAGCATTGATTACAGGACTGAAGCTGACAGTAGCAGCAAAAGCAGATAAGGTAATAGTCTTCTGTGATTCGCAACTCATAGTCAACCAGACAATGGACGAGTTCGCAGCCCGAGATGAAAGGATGTCGGCCTACGCAAAGGAAGTCAATAGGTTGGTAGCCCTATTTCAGAATTGCCGACTACATTAGGTAAGCCAAGATGATAACAGTCACACCGATGCACTGGCCAACTTGGCTAGTGCAAAACAACCTGGGAAAGCAAGAACAATTATAGTTGACTACTTGTCGGGCTCCAGCATCGAGCCACTGACCACAAAGCGTGAAGCAATGTGTGTGGATATGGGACCAAGCTGGATGGATGCAATTGTAGCATTCTTAAAGGAAGGGAAGCTGCCAGATGACCACAAAGAGGCACACAAGATCAGATTGAAGTCAACAAGATTCAGTCTGACAGCGGAAGGACATCTCTACAGAAGATCCTTCACTGAACCCCTTTTGAGGTGTATACATCCTTCACAAGTTGAAGATTTTTTATATGAAATACATGAAAGAATTTGTGGAAGCCACGCTGGGGGCAGATCATTAGCTCATAGGGCCATCACCCAGGGATATTGATGGCCCTACATGCAGAAGGATGCAGAGGCATACGTCAAGAAGTGTGAAAAGTGCCAAAGGTTTGCGCCACTGATACAACAACCAGCAGCAGACCTGAACCCAGTATCCAGTCCTTGGCCGTTTGCCCAATGAGGCATGGATCTCGTTGGGTAACTACCCCAAGCAACTGGACAAAGGAAGTACCTATTGGTAGCAACAGATTACTTCACCAAGTGGATAGAAGCTGAACCCCTAGCCAAGATCCGAGATGTGGACGTGAAGAACTTCATATGGAGGAACATCATCACCAGATTTGGGATTCCAAGAGCAATAGTTGCCGACAATGGAACACAATTTGACAGTAACCTAATCAAGAGCTTCTGTGCAAAATTCAAGATCAAAAATTATTTTTCAACCCCAAGCTTTCCTCAAAGCAATGGACAAGCAGAAGCATCCAACAAAGTTATCCTGGATGGGATAAAAAAGAGGCTGCAGGCAGCGAAAGGAAAGTGGGTGGATGAACTGCCAAGTGTACTCTGGGCATATCGGACTATGCCGAGAAGATCAACTGGGGAATCCCCATTTGCCATAGTTTATGGCACAGAAACAGTCATTCCTCTAGAGGTCAGCATCCTAGGGATCAGAACCCAAGGAGTAGAAAACGGAACCAATGATGTACTATTAGCCCGAGATCTGGATTTACTAGAAGAAAGAATAGAGAGAGCTGCAATTCAGCTAGCAGCATACCAGCAGTAGCTTGCCAGGGCTTACAATAAAAATGTTAACCCAAGGGAGTTTCAAGTCGGCAACCTAGTCTTGAGAAAAGTCGTCGGCAACAAGAAGGATCCCAGGGAGGGCAAGCTTGGCCCAAATTGGGAAGGACCCTACAGAATCACTTCGGTATTAGGCAATGGGGCATATCGGCGTGAAGATAACGAAGGCAAAGAGTTGCCAAGACCCTGGAATACTTGTAATCTGAAATTTTTCTATCATTAGATTTTCCTTGTTTTTTGCCGACGTAACGAATAAAATTTTAGTAGAATTCTTCTACATTTATGACTGATAAGATACTTGCCGATGTTTCTAGAATACATGTGTAATGAGAACCCAAGTGGAACTTAAGTTCACATTAGGGGGCAGAGAGTTGGAAAATGGTTCTAACACTTGTTGAAATTTGTGAAAAATTTACAAGTTGAAGTTAGCCGAGATAATGTTTAACACTTGTTGAAATTTGTGAAAAATTTACAAGTTGAAGTTAAACTATGGATACATCTAACACTTGTTGAAATTTGTAAAAAATTTACAAGTTGAAGTTAGCCAAGATCATGTTTAACACTTGTTGAAACTTGAGAAAAGTTTACGAGTTGAAGTTAAACCGAGATTATGTTTAACACTTGTTGAAACTTAAAAAGTTTACAAAGTTGAAGTTAAACCAAGGTTAAACACTAGTTGAAATTTTATGAAAAAATTTTACAAGTTGAAACCAAGGTTGTGCCAAGAAAGGTACTTGGGTACTTGCCGAGGTAAATCATCAGTTTGTATAACCGAGGTGTGTCACCCCGAGAAGGTTGCGCAAGATTAAAGTATATATTAAAGATATGCAAAATATTCTAAGTATGGAATCATACAAAAGTAGTAAAGAGAAGGCAAACATACAAACGTTCAAAACAAAGAAGTTGTACTTATAAGAAGACACTTCGGCCATATGAAGAGCTTACACTGTTTCAAAAGAAAAACAAAAGTACAGACCACAGAAGAAAGAGAAAAACTCAGAATTAACATTCTTCAGCATCATTAGCAGGCTGGGTTTGGACTTCGGAGGACTGCTGAGAAGACATCTCGGCGGCCTTCTCAGCCGCAAGCTCGGCGTCAATTTCTTGAAGGGTTAGATCGAGGCTCTTGTCGGCAAGAGGCACGTCCGATGACGCCTTCTCAAGAGTGGCATCCTAGGGGACTCCCTCACCCTCCTCATCTTGAGTCAAGTCTAGGACTTGCTCATTCAGAGAAGGGGACTTGGTCCCAGCAGCCTCCTTTGATTTCCTCACCAAGGTCTCCTCCTCAAACTCAGATTCGTCGTCGGATTGACTTGGAGTTGGAGGGAATGGAAGAGGAATGACGTCGGCGTTTCTGAGGCGCAAGTCCTCGGGGACTTCAAGCTTTTTTAGAAGAGACATCCAACCAAGGGTGAAACCCTTGTTGCATGCCTACTTCACTTGCTTTTCATAGTCTGCCGCGACATCGGCTACCCCCTCGTTATAGCCCTTCTCATCGGCGGCCTTGACTTCAGCCTCTTTTGTGGCTAGGGCATCCTGAAGTTCTTTCTGGGCCTGGGACATCTTTTCCTCGGCCTCTTTTTTCTGGGCCTCGAGAACCTTCCTGATGGCCTCAGCGGATTCCGCCTTTTCTTCAGCGTCATTTTGAGCTTTGATAGTAGCCTCGGCTTGATCCTCCAAGGTCTTCATCTTTGATTGTAAATTTTTATTAGTCTTTTGCAGACTGGAGACCTCCCTCTTCTTGTCGGCCAGCTCATTCTGGTTCTCAAAAGATTGTACTGAGAATGAATGAGCATGCTGGATTGCCTAAGAACAAATAAAACAGAGCATAAGTTATTACAAAATGTTCTAAAGTATAAAAGAGAGAAAGAAAGAAAAATTGCCAAATAAAGACACTTACTTGAACAGAGCGCTGGAGCATCAGAGCATAGTTTTCATATTCACTCAACTTGGCGTTTCGGTCGAGATCACCGGGAAGAAGCAGAGCGGTGCTAAGGGCAATGCCGACATTAATGTCATCAGTGCTATCGCTAGCCCTAACTGGCTTATTCTCTAGTGTGATTTGGGGGGCCCAGGGGGAATCGTGCTTTCGAGACCCCGAGGTAGTTGTAGCGGATGACCTCGGCCTCTTTGATTGGGTAGACTCGGATGGTTGGGCCTCGGCAGGCCTCTTCTCAACGGCAGAATGGGACTTATCGCTCTCAGCCAATTTGGAGATTGGCAAGGTGTCCTCAGTGTCAATCTGAGTCATCGTTGCCTTTGGCTGAGCTTTCTTGATCCTTTTTGTCTTCGGCTTTGGCTGGGTTGGCGCTGATTGGGCATCAACTGAATCAGGAATATTGGCCAAAAGATCCTTAGCAACTGCTTTTTGGCGGCCCATTTCAGCAGCAAAAACTGTTCGGCGTCGTCGACGGCATTGGGATATCGGGATCAGATATGGAGCTGAGGTAGATGGCTGCTCAGCTGGATCAGAGGTTGATCCTTGATCTGGCCGAGATGAGGAGGCAGCTTGAGGAGTTGTGGCGGAAAGAGGAGACAGACTCTTCTTCTTCTTCTTTGGAACGTCAGGAAGAACCGACTTATAGGTCGGGATAAAGTTGAGTAGCAGGGGAGCTTTACGCTTGTGGACTGGAAGGTCCAGTAGCTTCTTCAGACCTTTGTTGGGGAAAAAAGACTTTCGGAAGCTTTTTTCTGGTTTTGGAAAGGCTGCAAGAAAAAACAAACATTAGAATAAACAAAGTATTGAAGACTTTAAAAACAAGTAAGTATAAGCACATGGCTCTTACCATTACCCTCTACAAAAACTGTTCGAGGAAGAGGGTAGAGGTGGAGGTCCTCGTCTGGAGCAAACTCCCAGTTTCCCGAAGTGATGAAGTAATCATCTCCAGCTTCCTTGTTGGAGTCTAGGAGGTCGGCAATAATTTTGTACTCTGTGGACCTCGGTTTGAGGTAGTAAACATAGCCTGTATCTTTTTTGAGGCCACACATGATATAGCAATATTGGATGTCGGCTAAGGTAACCCTAACATTTTCTCGTTTGGCTAAGGCAATTATACCATTTATGACTTGGTAAGAATTGATGGCAAGCTGCATTGGGTTCAACTTATAATAATGGATTATCTTACGAAAAAGGATATCGAGTGGGAGCCGAAGTCTGCACTCGATGAAAGTTACAACTGGGAGGGGCATAGAATCAGCTGTAGGCATGATAGAGTCATCCTCCCCAGCCAACATCAGATTTACGTCAGCAGGGATGAAAAACTCTCGCCTAAAGTATTCTAGTTTAGTCGGGGTGTCTACCCTATGCCTCCACATACCCATGATATCGGCTTAAGTGAAAGGTGTGAGACTTCGGAAGGGAATGTTTTGTGATGATTTTGAATGACCTCGGCTAAAATTGACGACTGAATACGTTTCAGTTTTTCCTAAGAATTTGTGGGTTCTACAAATAAATCCCAAATCTAGATCTACGGAAACAAAGATTGGAGGCAAGAATCTGGCAAAAACACGGCAAACAGAAAACAGGAACGTGTTTCCGAATCAAGAACAGTAATGAAACTATCAAGAACACTGTGACAGAGTATGCACAGGGGCACGAAGTCAAGAACAGTGGCAAAAGTGCAGAAAAATTATGAGCAGTACGTATATTCAAGACATAGGCAAGAACTAAACACGTTCAGATATATGATTCGCAAATCGAATGTTTGAACAAAGCAGTAATGGTAACGAGTAATGGAGAGCATCAAAAACGGAAATTAGGAGAAACAGTAAACTCACCAAAGAAAAGAAGCCGGTGTTGAGTTTGCTGAGGTCAGACGAATAACAGATGCGGAAAAGATTAGCAAGAACCTCGCCAGAGGAGGTAGACAGAGCAAGTTGCAAAGCTTTTGAAGCTTGGAACAATGGAGGATTTGAAAAAGCTAAAGAGAGAGAAAGCCTCAGAAACGATGGAGAAAAGTGAAAAAAATGGAAGAGGGGGAAAAAGTTTTGTTAAAACTTGAAACGGCGGCAAAATAAAATTAATGAGCCTAGAACGACAGATTCGTCAAACGGTGCACGCAGGCGCGAAACGACTTACAGGCGCGCAACAGGTACGATCCAGTAAGGGGAAGGCACGTGGTTAAAACGGTTGAGTTATTGTGTTTGACAACTCATACGCGAAAAAGAGCTCATAGGGTCCTTGTTCTTTAAAGAGACATGTCGGCCTTGGCGATGGTCTCGGCTGAGATACTTTAAGCCGACGTACTGGAAAGAAGTACTGATATAGGTTCCATTACCTCAGAATCTCGAGGTGGTAATAGAACCTAGGGGGCAGTTGTGGGGATATATTTTCTGAGTCCCAACATGTGGCTAAGGTGACGCCGACGTGTCAGTCGAGGTGCCACGTGTCCAAGTTATGATGCCGAGGTTATCTCGGTTAGGCCGAGGTTATCTCCGAAGATATTGAAATCCGAGATAAGTGGATAAGGCACAAGAGTCTTAGAATGAGAAAGGGCATTAGCATGGATAAGGATAATACTCTTAGAGAGTTTATCTTTATCTCTTGGAGAGTCCAAGATGAATACTGAGCAGAAGTCCAGTGAAGTTAGACTTCTATGAGAACTAGGATTGAGTTAACTATAAAAGAAAGGCACCCCCGATGGGTCTAAGATACGCAATTTATATTCTGAACAGTGAGTTTTGCACTATCGATTATCTTTTAGAGATATACTGACTTGATCATCGGAGTGCCCCCGGGTGGACGAACCACCGCCGGAATCTTCTCTTTCTGTTACAGGTCAACCAGGCCAGTGTTCTCCAGCTGAATACTGAGTTTGGCAGTGTGGTCGGAAATTCACTCACACACTTACTATCAACTATTCTTAATAAAGACAGTAAATAAAAACAAACTATCAAATTTTAAAATAACAATAATTAACAACGATATCTTGATATTTAGACAATAAGCATACATACTATTTTAAGTAACAATGACCAAATAATAAAAAAGAATTATTTAAGATTTTTTGTTTTAAAGCCTAAAACATTTAAAAACGTATAAATAATCCCACCCATGTAATATTTAATTATATTCAATTTAATAAAATAGTAATAGATAATTAATGGTGTAAGTTACTTTAATCTCAAATATCTTTAAAAGATATATTATGATTTTTTAAAAGAAAAAAAAATGAGAGAGAGATTAAAAACATGTTGAGTTTGACTGAATCTGATTGGATCCAATTAAAAACTTCATGATCACTAAAATAACAGCAAATCATATATATATATATATATATGTTGGTTATTTTGACACTAAACACTATTAAAAGTTGTATTGTGTCATATCATCAAAAATATGGAGAAAAAATAAGTCAAAAATATGTCGAACATAGTAGTTTCAAGAATTGTAAGAACCATAAAAAATGAATCAAATCGTGAATTAATTGTGAATCGTGCGATTCACTAGTGATTCACTTTCAAAATAAATTTATCCACAAATTCGTATCGATTTTATAAAAATTACAAATCGAATCGTGAATTGAAAGATTCTGATAATAGAGATTTCTACACATATTAGGAACCCAAAATATAATTCCATACTTATTCTAAGAATTAAAATGTGATAGAGATTAAATGTGTTGTAAAGTTCATATATAGAAGAATTTGGATTATTAACCTTTCTTATAAATTTTTTGAATTTATAGTATTACTATTTTGCACATTGTACAACATCAACTAATATCTTTGGGAATTGAGAATCATCTTTATGGTCTAGTTTTTTAAATTAGTATTTTGGGAAAATATATATATATATATATATATATATATTTTTTGGTGTGTTTGTTTTTTGTCAAATCTAAATTCAATTTTCAAAAGAAAAAAAAAAGTAAAGTAATTTAGGAACAAGTTAATACTCAAACCAAACAACTGTTATTTGGTGCATCAAACAAGGGCAATTTCTCCTCCCCATCCAAAAAAAAAAAAAAAAAAAAAAAAGGAGGGTAAGGTAACCAATCAAAGAATAGAGGAGAGCACAGATAATTTATAATATTAATATTATTAATCTGCTAATAAGAATGCAATCATAGTATCAGGATTATAGAGAAAAAAAATCTCATGCATAAACTACAACCCTCTGTTTACCAAAAATAATTGTATTTATAAACTCAACAACATATTGAACATGGGACCAAACATGCAAGCTCCCTCTAAATTAACCATAATCTGCGGCCAAAAAAATGAACCTGAAAAAACAAAAATAAATTAGATTTGAAGGCATGAAGATTTAAAAATACAATAAAAAAGATCAGATCTTGGGAAAACACAAAGAGACTTTTTAATCCATTAATAGTACCATCCCTATCAAGTTTTATATATATATATATTATATATAAATTTTAGGATTATTACACAAATCCCTAAACTATTTCGAAGTTATACTTTGACCCTTTTAAACTATAAAAAGCGTATAAATGGACCTCTTATTATTGAGAAGTATTTATTTTGATCCACTTAACTATAAAAGTATACAAATTGACCCCCTAAATATTAGCATAGTTCACTTTGATCCCTTCCTTTACTGCATTGTGAGTTAAACAAAACTTTTAAACATTTTTTAGACGAAAATACCCTCTTCCTTTACTGCATTGTGAGTTAAACAAAACTTTTAAACATTTTTTAGACGAAATACCCTCTTCCTTACTGCATTGTGAGTTAAACCAAACTTTTAAACATTTTTTAGACAAAAATACCTTTCAAACACACTATATATTTACAATTTCATTGTTTTTTTAATTTTTTTTTTTAAATATAAGCATTCATCCATTATTATTGTTTTATTATTTTTTAAAATATTCTTTGTAAATATATTTTTGAAAAAAGAATATTTAAAAAAAACAATAACAAACAGAAAAATGAGAAAAATTGAGAAGTTTCGTCTAAAAAATGTCAATGCAGTAACGGATGGTGTCGAAGTGAAACACGTCAATAGTTTCGGGGGTACATTTGATACTTTTATAGTTTAGGGGGTCAAAATAATACTTCTCAATAGTTTAGGGGGTCTTCGTGTAAATAACCCTAAATTTTAAGATGATGAAACCTTGCATTATGATTTCGAATAATTTCAAGTGAGCCTTTAATACTTCACCATGCAGAAAGTAGTTTAGCAAAACGGTAATGCTCCTAGCATAAGATGTGTTATCACCACCCCTTTCACAAAAAAAAAAAAAAAAAAAAAGGAATGTTTTATAGGTTTTACTAACAGAATCTTTTATGCAATTTTGGCCCAGGAAGGGTGGTTAAATAACAAAATATATCTACCACTGCATTTCAAATGTGTCTACTAGGACTAGCACATAATAAGTTAGAATAAGGGCTGCCAATAACAGTTCAAACATTTAAAATTGTCTACCATAAAATAATAGCTAGAATGATAAATTTTGAAAGAACTCGAGAAAAAGCTATGTTCTGTTCAAGTTTCAACAACAGTAATCCTTACAAGTGCTAGAAGAAAATATTCCAAACATTCAAAATTTTCAAATATTAACAAGACAACAATGTTGTAATGAAAAAATTAAACAGATTTCACAAACCTATTGATCATTTTTTACCTCAATTAGATCTGGTTTGATATCTCAGGTAGGGTAGCAACAACCTAGGCAACCTGCAACACCACCATCAGCCATGCCGTATAAGTTTAAAGAACATTTTAAGGACATTAAAATGGGTGATCAATGGGTTAGAAACAAGTTTCGAGCATTTATCTACAAGAATTGTCCCCAAGGACCTTAAGGTAATTTGCAGTTACCAGTCATGGCATGCCGCATCATCATACAACTGAGTCATTTCCAGATATATGAGCAAAGAAAAAGAAAAGAAAAAAAAAAAGTCTACTTGGAGCAACAGGCCTCCCACCAAAAGAAATCTGCATGTGATGCCTAATGAATTTTCTACTAATTGCCAAATATGCTCATTCCAAAATGGAACTAGCATGTGCAAATTGACCAAAGAATTATTTCAACTCAAACGAAGGTGTGGTCTCATTATATGAATGCTAGCACAAATGTAGGAAAAGTCGATGAAATCTAAAATGTCCCAAAGTTGCTTCTTTT